AATACGTTAGCCAAAATTAGGTGCTGAAAAGGTACTCATACATAAAGGGAGGCACCGGAAGCATAATTTTCTTAGAGTGCAAACAAACTCATCTATCAAGCATTTGACAAACTCAAAGGGCGTAATACCAATCCACATGCCAAGAAATTTCATCTCATTCAAGCATTCTAAGCAGTTCAGGCATTTCAAGCAAATTGAAGAACTCATGCCCTTACGACAATACCATTCAACATCATTCTCTCCAGACAATATTGCCCAAGAACATGCTCTAGCAATACCCATATCAACACTCAATGCCAAGAGAAAGGACATGCCAAATTCTCAAAAAAAAAAAAAAAAAAAAAAGCAACATGCCAAGCAAAACTTATACACAAGATTTCCAACCATTCAAGCTAGAACATCCCACGTTTAGAAAATCACTATAAATCAAGTTCACATCCAACAAATCCCAAACTTTCCAGATTAGAACCAGACATACCAAGCCTCATTTTTCCAAAATTTTGTTGAATTTAGAGCTAGGGAAGCATGTCAAACAGATTCCTGAAACAGCCCATGCAGCACGAACTGCACAGCTCCAGCAGCTTAACCCTTACTTTGAAATTCCACCGAAAATTCATTTTTGCTTCAAGTGATGCAAGACCAATTCCAACATAACCACTGAGAAGTCCATTTTCATGTCTCAAAAGCTCCAACTCAGATTTGAAAAGAAATATTTCAAAAGTTCAAAAAATAGCCAGCAAGCTACTTTGAGATATTTTGACAAACACTTGGCATGCATTACCCAAGTAAGCTTGTATGACTCTTGTTTATCACCAAGCTAGAATCCTAAACCAGAAGCTCAACCTCCGAATTCGATTTCTAGTTCACAAATTCTGGGAAATACAGAGGAACTCAGGCATGCAAGCATAGAAAACAAGCATGCAACAAAGGCATCAACATCAGTTCAAGAACATCCTTTAGAAAAATGAAGGCAGAGAACACTACAAAGGTTGGATGATCTGGAATTTTGGATATGTTATAAACAACATAATTTCGAGCACATTTTGTGAAGCAAGTGCAATCATCCGAGGATCAGAAATTAGAAACACATGTAGAAACAGAATCTGCAGAAACTCACCAGCCATGGATGAATACAGAAGTTGTAGATTAACTTTGAGGCATCAGAAAAATTCAAAAAATTCTCAAATTTTTACAGGCTAAAGTACTCGAGCAGATGAACAACGTTTATCAAGGAAGTTTTTTGATCCGACCTTCCAAAATGTAACTCCTGTACCAATGAACAATACCCACGGGTTTGGATCTTGAAGAAGAAGAAGAAAGAAGAGAATGAGAGAAAATCAAAAAATAAAGCATGCCATGCCAAATGAAAGGAAAAGAGAGCAGCCACTTGCAAATAAAAAATTCAAAAGGAAGGGGCAACACAATTTTGCCCGCGTGAAGTCCAAGCCAGTCAAGGAGATAACGAGCCCAGCTCTCTTATGCGCTCTCAAGCCCGTATCTATTCTTAAACCTACCATACATCAATACGAGTATTTGTGAATCAATCCACACAAACCATGCAACTCAAGCATTTCACTTGATGCAATCATTTCAAGCAAACCAAACTAGATATCACAATATCAAGGTTTTCAAGCAAGACAGTATTCATAAAAATGACAATGCTAGAACTTGGCAGTTCTAGTTGCTGGAATCCCAGAGAAGAAGCCATGCTATCACCATATCCTAAGTTCATCACACCATGCAATGACCTAAACAAATACTCAGAAGGCCACGCTGCAAGAGTTTTTGCATCTCATGCCAATCAAATCTTTTTATGATGATTATGGTGCACTTGGCAGCTGAGGAAGGAATTCATTGAAATCACCACCAGCAATTGCAAAACCTCGATAACCAAGATACAAGCCAAGAAAAACATGGAAGACAATGATGCACTGTATGAGATGCTCCTAGAAAATAATACAAGCTTTATATTCATGCTGCCGGAAGAGTGAACACTCATGCCAGACCAAGCTATATCTTGATTCAACTCAGCCATTAGATTATCCACATCCTTATAGCAAATCCAAGCTAATCATGCAAGCCAAGTCATGTTCTTCCAGCACCTATTCCACAAGAAGTAAACACTACTAGCACTTAATCCATAAGCAAAGAATTTCCAACACCTATTCCATGCCAAACAAAACAGTTTCCAGTACCTGCCCTATTTCAAACATCCTTCTAGCGCATGCCCTATTTTAAACATCCTCCCAGCATATGTACTATTTCAAACATTCTTGTAGTATCTAGCCATCATGTTGCACGTTATCACCTTCACTGAGGTTTTGTCGGCCAAATTCAAGTGTTCTGAGGCTGGTGCTGTAAACTCAAACACAATGGTGAATCAAAGCTTATTGTATCCGCAACTCCAAGATTGGATCCTTACCATCCACTAGCATGTATGACTACTGTCAAATGACATCCACCATATCCCAAAAGCATACATGCCAACATCAAGCATACATGCCAATACCAAGCATCCAAGCATACAAGCCAAAGCCAAGCGTACAAGCCAAAATCAAGCATACACGCCAATGCCAAGCATCCAAGCCAAATACCAAGCATACATACCAACATCAAGCATACATGCCAATACTATATATACACATCAAAATTGAGCGTGCGAGCCAATATCAAGCATACAAAACTAATATCAGACACACAAGTCAATGCAACTCTTGCAAACCATAACCATGCAAAATCAAGCCTCTCTAGTCACTCAAGCAAATAAATCATGCAAGCTAAGTTATTTTGAGCTAACCCACTAAGCATTTTCTTCTATGTCATGCCACAAAATAAGTCAACTCTTGGTAACTCTAGTGAGTGACCTCCAAAATTACAGTATCTAGTAAAGTTCTTTAAGGCAATACCTTCGTGTTTAAGAAGGATTGAGTTTTAAGCGGGACCAAGGGGACCCCTCCAACCTTCCCGGAAAAAACCTAGCTATAATTTCAGAGACACTTAACTAGTCATCCTTGAGTTGTTCCTAAACCCATGCCATTGCCATTTATTTTGGGCTGGAAATTGATTATTCAGACCATTTCAGTACACATTCATGGCCCCAATAATCAAGGGTGGGCCCAAATATATTTCTAGCATAGTACGACACCTAACTTGGGAAGAAACCCAACTTGGGTACGAAAGAGTTCATCATATGTGCTTGCAAACGTCCCAGGCCGAGCAAATAAGAAACACGCCATGCTACAAGCTTAAGTGAGCCCAAGCCGCGTGAATGTCTGGGTCTTGCTGAGCAAGTTGTGGTATGGATGGTTACAAGCATTCACAAGGCCCATTGATGGGCCAAGAAGTGGAAGTTTTGGGCTGCTTGGGAGTCCCCAAACTCAAGCCCATTTCTTGAGCCCAAATATGTGGGTAAGTATGAAAGAGAGAAAAGGATAGCTCATTACCCTAGAAAATTGGCCCATCACCTTAGTAAAAATAGTCCATTGGCCCATCCCCTTAGTAACTAACCTATTACCTTAAAGAATGGCCCAAGTGACCAACAAAATATCTGAAAGTCTCCAACACATGGCTAGAGACAAAACAATGACAAAAACCAAAGGTTACCTATGTATGCAGGCTATTGAGAATCTCCAGCACATGGCCAAAGACAAATCCCAACACAAGCCATCCAAAAAACCAAAGGATACTTGAGTAAAACACCCTTTAGACCAGCGCCATTACCCACTAATTTCTCCTACCAGCTCTTGCCATGAAATAAGGGAGGAAAGAAGGAGAGATGGTAGCCAAATATAGGAGATTTCTACAGGGACAGCTACGAGAAGACTCTAGAGCTCCTAAAAATCTTGTCCTTGTGTATTTGGATTGAGGGAGATTTCATAAAAAAAGGTTGAATCAAATGAAGAGAAGAGAAATGAAGGAGAAGACTTGGCAAAATTGGAGAGAACCAACTAGGGTTTTCTTGGGAAGAATGAGCTTCTAGCGCTTATAAAAAGGAGGCACCTTCTACCCAGCAAAAAGACTCGAAAAGAGTAAACAACCCACATCTAGAGAGCAAGCTTCATCTCTCATCCTTGGAACCCTTCAATTTCGAGCTCTATTCCTCCATCTCTTCTTATTTTCTCTTCTGGCAAGCCATTCCAGAATCTGACAAAGCTTTTGTCAGGCTACCAGAAAATTGCTCAAACCATCCACTTCTCCTCCTTCATCTTTCTCCCCCTCTCTCTCCTCAATGAATCCTTTTAAAATCTCTTCCCCCTTGCTTTAAACCTCTGTTTTTTTATAGGAAATCACAACTCTCTCTCTTTCATGCTAAACTCATGAGTGCTTAGCTTCCATACCACAAGCTTCTCAAGTCAAGCCAAAAGTTTATCTGTAAGCAATTGTTGGTTTCATTGGTGAAGAAGACCAAGGTGTTTTCTAAGGCTCAATTACCCTTTCAAAACACTTTTTGGGTATGATCTTTTAACTCAGACTCAGGGGGCAAATTTACAAATTTGGCTCTTTACAGCAGCTCAGGCCCATCAGTAGCTGTTGGAACGAAAAAGCCCCCACAATGGACACGTGACAAATGAAAATCTTATCCGAAAATTTAACCGAAAAATTCATTCGAATTATGAGATATGAATTTTATAATAAATAACACGTGGCAACCGAAAATTTTATCCGAAAATCTTCTCCAAATTAATCGTTTAAGTTAAAAAATATATATATATATACTTTTAAAAAAAAAAGTTAAAGTGAATAGTATTTTCCTTTTGTCATGACAATGGATGGAAACACAACAAGCCTTTTACTGCCATTATTCACTTGCCTTACCCTCACTCATTACCATGACAAATGAGTAGAAGTGCTCATAATCCCGAAGTTTGAAGGCTGATGTTGTTGTTTTGTTTTATGGTTAATTTTTATTAATTTTTTATTTTATTGGGAGTTAACAGTGTTATTGTGGGAGTTAAGTGGGTGGACAAGTGGCAAACAGTTAGATAGGGAACACACACGGACAGTAAACTTGGAGACAGCATATCAGCTCCCGCACTGCAGAGACTCGGGGTCCTTTTCTCGTTTCGTGCTTTGGCTGCTGGGCGTCTATCTCGAACCGAAGAAGATAATGGAAATAGCCGTTAATTGTTCCCTCTTCTCGGGTTTAAATCCTAAGGTAACCTAACCCTAACCCGTCCTCTTTTTTCTTTTTTTTTCCTTTCTTGTTCTACATATCAATTATATATGACATTGTCAATTCAATATTGCACAAGAAAAATTCAGATATCATCAGTACCCAACTATTGGCTGGTGGGCTTTTTGTTTTTTGTTTTTGTAACTCTGGTTCCCATGAACTATGAAATTGTCTGTGTGCTTTTGTGTGCTGGATGTGTTAATAGTATGTTGTTTGGATTTCCTTAGAACTCTGTTCTTGGGTTTAATCCTGTTCAGATCCTATTGAACCCAAAAGCCAAGTATTTGTGTAATAATGTGTATTGTTGTTTCTTTCGGTGATGTTAAAAGGAAAAGAAAAAAGGTTTTTGCTCTGCTCTACAGCAAATTTTAGCTTTACCAAACCTATTTCTTGGGTCTTTCTTCATGTCTTGTACCATTTCTCTTCTGATTTTTATTAGTGGTTTCATAGTTTACTACAATAACCCATTTGATTGCTGGAACTGAGAGTAAGTATATACATTTTGGAATGAACACCCGGAGAATTATAAGTCACTTTACCCTGAAAATGTTATCCAACAAAACAAATGTAGCCTTCAACTGACCTAAGTTTTGTACAGATAATTAGAAACAATCGGAGGATCAGTGCATCTATTCCCAGCCTTACTTGCAGGAGAACAAAATCCTCCCATCAAATCATGTATTCTGCTCTAGCACTTAGCAGAAGGTAATCAATATATTCACTATTTACCCCTTTAGTTTTGCGTGCAAATCTGAATGCTCATCACAGTTTGCATGTATTCACCAATGTTGTAGTGCAATGTTAGAACAATTGGAGATCCCTGTCTAGTTTATTTATATATTTTCAACAAAAATGTAAAATGTAATAGACTCATTTTGTTTTATTTCACTTGAGTAGAGTCGGTTTAATATCAATGGACCATCTTTTTCTTTCGAGATTCTTGTTCAATAATGGAGAGTTAAATTGCAATATACCCTTGCATTCTTCTGATTGTTAACAGTTAACCTACTTTTGGTATGATTACTATTGACTAAACTAATCTTTCAGTTCTAGCTGCTTTGTTTCACCCTAATCTATCCATCTTTAGTAATATAAAGTCACATGCTATGCATGTGTGAAGTGAGAAGGTAGTTATTTCAATTTGCAGATGAGTGGAGAGCGAAGGTGGGTAATTTAAAACTAATGGCTAATTACTATTTACCCATATTCTTTAATATTAATATGAAAAGGGCACAAGAAGGGGCCTCTTACATATAGTATAGTATCTTAGGATTTTTGTTTAACATAATATGCTGTTATAATCATTGTGCTCTGTTTTTTTTGCTTTTCTAGGTACTTTCTATCTCTTTTGCTTGATTAAGTTCTAGGGGCAGACTAAGAGTAACAGTGTTTTATAAATGAGTGAACTTTGATTGATCTTGATTCCATATTTGATTGTTTGAATTTCCATTTCATTTTACAGGGAAAGTAATAAGTATATTCCTGCAATTTGTGCTGTGTTATCAGGTGCAGTTGTTAAGTATTTTCTGTCAAGTTCTAACTTCTAAACAAACCTGTGCTAGTACTTTCTTATTCAATTGCTAAGTACTTTGTAAACTATTGGTTTTATTAAACATAGGCACAGAAGACATTGGAGTATCGTCTTCTCAGTTTGAAGATATTCCTATTACAGTTACTACTTCAGGTACCAGTGTTGCCGGTGAACTAAAGGTATGTTTAAAAAAAAACAAAAAAACTTTTGGGAAGCTTTTATATTTAATATTTTCTGGAAGGTTAGTAAGAACATGACATTCTGCACTGCCCTTTGAAAAAAATTTACATTCTGCAGTGGACCGTCGAAGTGAAAAGTATGATAATGCAAAGATATTTAATGGCATAAACAGTGATCATGATGACCTTTGCTCTCTCTTCTTGTTTGATGATAAACAAAATTCTATGGTAGATGGTCACAATTGTTTTATACTGTTATAAATTTTGACCACATAAATTCACATTTTTTTCCATCAGTTAAACGTAGAGGTATCTGGTGCTAAAACTCGAGCAATTTTTGACGAAGTTTTTGACAAAATGGTTACTGCAGCCCAACCAATACCTGGATTTCGAAGAGTGAAAGGAGGTAAGATTTTAAAAGTCTATTATGTTCAAATAGATTACTTTTGGGTCATCTTCATTCTTCAGATGACATCATAGTCAATTGAGTGGCTTTCATCATATTTTAGACTGATCTATGCTATGGTTTGGTAGTATGGATAATAATAATATCTCTGCATAACCTAAAGAGATCTGTATTTGCCTCCAGTTCAGAGTTTGACTCTGCATATATTGAGTGCGTGCTCTGTTGTAACAAATTTCCATAGTCGATGAGGATGTTGGATCTTTGCTCTCACTGCTGTACATTTCCATTCTGACTGTTAACAAGCATGTGACGGTAGTTCAATCTTGTGAGGGTAGGGATGTAACTGGTATAATAGTTACCAAATAAAAAATTTCATAAACATCTTCTATGGATTAAAATTATAATACCCTGCTGACCTCTTCCAGTCCTCAACCATTCTATTAATTTCTTACTCCAGTTGCCACCCTAAATGATAAAGTTGATTTTCTGGGATCATTTATGTAATCCTTCTATTAGCAGTAAGAAGAAAATTTAGCACATATATTAAAAGGTATGTATGGAAATTACAATATCAGATTGAGAACAAATGTTTTGTTGTGTTGTAACTTTGAAATTAGGAAGCACTTTGTAATGAAGCTTCTTGCAATGAATTACTAAAGACATGATTTTCTATTGAATTTGATATCAATTTATATAATAGAACTTCTGTAGAAACACTGAACTCAGAAACAAGATATGACAAGACAAAAGAAGAGCAACAATAAAGTTGCTAGGTTCTTCCTTTTTGCTTTGCTTTAGTACAGCTAACTAATTTGACTTCTAGACTGAATTACCTCTTGTGTATGTTGTTTTTTCTACACATTCCTAACTTCTTTTTCTTCTTTTCTTCCCCTGGCTATATGTCGCTGACAAATCAAATCTCAATTACCAGGGAAAACACCGAATGTAAGTTTTTAACTCGAACCATGGTTATGCAGTTGATATGCTGAGTTGGATATGATTAATATCTAAATGGAACTTCAAGCGTAACTAAAGTTTTTTCTGCCACATGATTGCTTGCACCTCCTAGCTCAAGGGCTTTGAGATTTTTCTGGGGAGGAACACCCGCCTGCAATTTATATCTTACGTCCGTAAATTGTATATATACATCTTCATATCATATACAATCTCGTTTTCTTATCTTGAGCCATGTTCTCAGGGCTTTAGCTGCAAAACTTCAGCACGCTGGGTGGATTTACCACATATCATATGTGCAAACACATGCACAGATTAGTTCCTTATGCTATCAAGGCCAATTGGTCAGCCAAAAGAACTTGTTTTTAACCTTGTCCCAGACATGCTTTTCTTTGTTTATAAGTTATTAACCCTGCAAATGTAACTCTGACTGTTGTCTCCCCTCTGCGGATGTGACCATTTCATATGCATCAGCAACTTGGTTTTTTTTTTTTGATTGCACACCTACACAAAAAGCTAGTGGCTCCCTTCGGCTCCCTTCAGAGAGAGAGAGAGAGAGAGAGTACACTGGCACACAATAAATTCTGTATCTTATTAATTGTGAACGCAGATACATTTTTTTTAATTTGCCTTATTTTCTGTCTATCAGATACCTAGAGACATTTTGCTAGAAGTCCTTGGACCTTCTAAAGTTTATAAGCAAGTAATCAAGAAAGTGATCAATTCTGCGATAGCTGAATATGTAGAGAAGGTAGTTGTTTGGTATTCTGATTTTTTTTTTTTTTTTTTTCCCTTGTACATGCTTCATGCTCGCATATTGTTGTTAGGTTAACTATGAATAAGCATACTTTTTTAAAATGATTAATGTTTACTAAATTTGTCCTGTTCTTTGTATCAAAGATCTATTGCTATCAGCCTAACAGAAACTCCAAACGTCTTTGCAATTTGACCAGTGCATGACATCATATTTAGTATGCATAGAGTTGAATCCGGTTATAGTTGTACCACAAAGTGTGTTCTTTCAAAATAACTGCGAAACTATAGTTTTGACACTTTGTTTATAAATTTTTATATGATCCATTACTTGTTTTACTTACTAAAACCTCACTTTATAAGTAATTTATCGGATTGAAATTTTGCGCACCATATTTCAGTGACGATCCCAATTTCCTTTGTTTGATGGGCATCATAGTTTTTGAGTAGTTAGTTACCTTAGTTGAAAGAAGGTACCTTTGTATGAAAAGGTTGACGTTTTCTTTGTATGAAAGTATTCTTCGTAAGCGTCTCAAAATGCTGCTCCTGGGAAATTTGTTCATCTCATTCTTTTATTCTCAAGGCATGTACGTGATCTGCATGTGTTTGTTTTTCCTCCAATAAAATGGATCTTGATAAGCCCTGAGGTTGTATTGTTTTTATTTTTTAATTGGTGCAGCAAGGTTTAAAAGTTAGAAAGGACTTGAGAGTGGAGCAAAGCTTTGAAGATCTTGAAGTTGCTTTTGAACCAGGTGAAGATTTCAGCTTTGATGCTGTCATTCATCTTCCCTAGTGACCGAGACAATGTGTATATTTTCCTTTACCATTCTTCAATTTTTGTACATACTTTGTTTAAATCTCAAGCAAAGTTATTACATATCTATGCCTAAACTGATAAGGGAATCAGACCGGAAAACAGAGAATGATAGAGCACCTTGCATTTGATTTGCCAATTTAGTGTCTTAATACTTGTATGTCTGTTTAGAAAGACATAATGTTCAACGTTAAAATGCAAGCTCATGCCTATATTGAAAAACCCACAAATTTGCTATGGACAACCAAACGTGTTGAGCCAAAATGAAAGGCGAGGAGGTTGATGAGTTTTGAGATTTATTTACATCCAGACAAGTAGCGAACTTAACGGAAAACGTGTGTTGGTTATGGATTTGGCACAAATTTATTGGAGGTGGGTACATTTGATCTACCACATCCAATGACCAAAATTATTGAAGTTCGGAAATGTCTAATTTCCCATGTGGGAGGAAATTCACCCTCAGCATATCCTACCCTTTTTCTTTTTCTCCTAAGTTGGGAATTCTTTGATGGAGCTTTTCTTCTTATAGGAAGGAACATTGACCGTTATTTTTCAATGACGATCAACAATTACTAATTTTCATACATTTGAATGAAAGTTTGCATATCCACGTTGGTCTTATAACGATTTTCACGAATGTCGACTATAACATGTCCAAATTTGAGAGCATTCAGACTGGTGGTGAAGCCTTCTCGGACACATCAATGATTAGACACATATTGATGTGGTAATGCTAACTTAAAACATAAATTCTATCATTTCTTTCAAGCCATGGGAGCAGTCCATATCATGGACGGCCTCACTCTCCATGGACTTACTGGAGCCTAGAATCTTTTCCACATGCACTTACGTTATAAACAAAGAATCCTTCAGAAACGATATGAAACTGAACTTGTGTCCCAGATCCCTTCTGGCACCGGCAACTCCACAGCCAGTCTGAATGAGGGCGAGGTAAAGAGCTAAGATTGCTCCCAGAGATGAAACGCCTACCACCCAGCTGCTTAAATAGTGGTGCACCAAAACTGCTCTTAATCTTGCATGTTTAGAAGCATATTAAAAGTTGGCATCGCCAACCACCCTGTACAAGTATGACAGGGACGCGTCCAGCCCAACTTCCTTGCCTCTTGTTGACAAGTTTAGCCACCATTCTGTTGCTGCCTAGAGAATGCAGGAGGACCCCGTGGTAGTAGAGAAGCCCTACATCCTTGGATGAGTTAATCACATCGTCTAGAAAGACAAATAGCTTGTAACATCTTGGCGGCAATGCTGGTGACATGTTGAGTGCTAGCAGATTGCGAAACGAAGTGCCTCTGTGATCATCTATGTGTATTGGAGGGATTGTCAGAACCTTCCCCCTCAATGTGCTACTAAAACTTATATCTAATGGCTGACGATTTGTGTCGGCCTTGAGCTTGACACCAGCCTCCTTTAGCTCTTGGTTTTCTTACCTCGTGGCTCTTGCCATGGAAGAGTAGAGAAGCAATTTTCATGATCAGGACGGATACAGTGGTAGAGCTACTCTCTTCATGAATGGCAATCTCAATTTCTTTCAGGTGAAGCTTTCCTATTTGATGAGCCGCATGCTTCATGAAAGCCTCTTGTTTACAAAATGGGAACTTAAATATAAACCCAAAATGGGTGAAGTATTTATAAAGAAGGACAAAATTAAAGTGTTTGGACAATAATGCCCTTACTTATTTTTATATTGCCTAAGGAGTTTTTCTATTTCTTCTTTTCAGATGATGCCGTATGGAGCCAAAGAGTTTGGATTCTCTTGCTTTGGACTTGTGGTAGCAAATATTTTTGTCTCCAATCACGGCACGTCACGTGGAAAAGAAGAGTATCTCTTAAATTAATTAATTGCACCAATTTATTTGACCAATTAATTAATAGGGATAATATCTGAATTAATATGATATTATCTCTATTTAATAAGATAATATCATTAATTCAGATATTATCCTAATAAAAAGAAGATAATATCATTAATTCAGATATTATCCTAATAAAAAGAAATAATATCATTAATTCAAATATTATTTTCAATAAAGAGATATAATCAAGTCCGACTTAATCCCTATGAATTTGAGTAAAGAATAAACTCATCATAATAAGAGTTTATTCTCTATGAAACCCTAGCTCTGAGGCTCTTATAAATAGATGACTTCATTCATCATTCAAGATACATCTAAACCTACTCCTAATACTCGAGAAAAATACCCGAAGCTCTCTCTCCCTCTCCACTCTCCATATTTTCTCCACACGGCTTCGGCCACCACACACGGCCTATGTTGCATAGACACGGGTATGGGGACACGGGAACGCGACACAGCGACATGAAAATTCTCAAAAAATTAGGACACGGACACGGCAATTAAAATAATAATTAATTCTCAATACTTTTTTTTTTTGCTTAATTAATTCTCAATACTTCAATGTCACATAATTCCATAAAAAAAAACAAATAACTCATTGTTCATCATCCATAAATAATAATTAATACACCACAAAAAAGAATCGTCCTTCTTGTTTCATTTCTCTTCAAAAAAACAGAAGAAAAGAATCCTCACCTCACCACCAAGTCCAACTCTTCTACTGATATGGAAGGATATAAGAAAAGAAAATAGAAAACATAAATAAAAGCATTTGAAAACAAACGAAAAAAAATTGCAAAAAGACTCACCTTTGCAAAAGCTGGAGAAGAGGAGATGCTGCAACGGAAGAAATGAAGTGAAGTGGCTGGCTGATACTTTCGTGAGATTCATTTAGGTTTAAAAAATTCTTTTTCCACTTTCAACCCATCTTTTTAAAACTATTTCAAATCAGTCCACTAAAGTTTCAAAAATCACGTTTAGACCCTTACTTTTATTTTCAAAATTTCAATCTGGTCCATGCTGTGTCTTGATTGTGTCGGAGCCATGTCTTGACTGTGTCAGAGCCGTTGACTGTGTCGGAGGCGTGTCGGGGGAGTGTCGAAGCCGTGTCGGCGTGTTGGCGTGTCCGACACTCCAACACTCCAACATTTTGGAGTGTCCATGCAACATAGCACACGGCTCCGGCCACTCGGTTCACACCATACATACAACTCCGTATCCTTTGCTTAGCTATTGTTTTCCTATAAACACTCGAATTGACTTAGGCATCGGAGGGCTTTTGGCCAACACCCCCCGGGTATGGTCTATTTACTCCAATCTTTTTTACAAGAATTGAGGAAGAGAGAGAAGGAAGATCGAATGTTGAAGGATCTAGAAGCGAATATTCTCCTGTGAGATTATTTGCACAAACATTTGGTGCTTTCATTGAGAGCACAAGTTATACTCAACGGGTGCTCAAGGAATCCGTTCCTCCTATTTTCCAATCCACCGAAGCCTTCCAAACAACCATAGTTAGAAGCAAGCGCACGAGGAGCAAAACCGCCGCGATGGCTCAATCCGTGACTGCCCAAAGCTACTCCTCTCACGATCCCGCAATCGACATGGCGGCTTCATCGCCTCTCGCAGCCATGAACCCGCAGCAAACCTTTGTTGCCGCACTACAGTAGCCACCCCGTGTGACTGGAACCATCATGCCACCCGACGAACTCCCAGCTAGGACCACCGCACCGTCCTCTGCTGTCATCGTACCATCTCAAGGCCCCGTCACTAGATCTAGCCTTCAAGGTGGGCTCACTACCACAGCCGACTTAGGCCCAATCTTGGAGCAACTTCAAGCATTCCTTCCATTGCCTCTGCGCTCGACGCACTCTCATGCGTACACCTCTAATGAAACCCTAGCCCGTGTGCAATTGGGCTCCACACCTTTCTCACCTCCCGATCCATGAAGTCAAGTAGACCTTAATCTGAGAGTTGACCAGCTAACTCAGAGAATGAACGACCAAAACAATTTGATGAGACAACTCCTCAACCAAATAAACTTGGCTCAAAACCTTGGCCTTGGACAACAAGGCGAAAAGAGAAGGATGGAGGCACGCGCCAATAGGCAGTTCGATGGGTACCAAGTAGGTCGAGCAAGAGTAAGCAGACAAGGAGATGGACAACAACACGATCAACTTGCCGACATGTCGCAAGCATCTGCAAGCCACACTCAAAGCAAACGAAGTCTCCCATCCATATTGAGTTTAAGGACCAACATGCGCGAAAGGATGGGCCCACATGAAAGCCTAGGCTCCCGGGGAGGTCAACCCAATAGTCATCGTAGTGAGGATAGTGAAGAAAGGTGCTCCACTGCCCGCTCGCAGGTGAACTGATAACCCTCACAATGAGGACCGTGAAGAAAGTCGCTCTGTTGCTAGTTCTAGAAGAACCAATTCTCGTAGCCAAGCTACTGGAAATCCCTCGCAAAGCAGTCCACCAACACCCAGCCTAGGCAGCGTAGCCAAGAAAGTCGATCATTGCGAACCAACAAGGAATTCAATCAACGTCGCCCAAATCGTGAAGGTCATCAATGTGATCGATCGGCCATGTGCGCGGAAGACGTTGTGAAGCTTGTAAGTAACCGACTTCAAGACTTCAGGATTGGCGAAAATTTCGAAGATGCACTATGCATTGAGGTGGACTGAGCAAACTCCTCACCTTTCACTGCCGAAACAGAGCAGGTTGCTCCACCGAAATGATTCTCAACGCCCTCTTTCACATGTTTCAAAGGATATTCTGATCCCGAAAGCCATCTGAAGCATTTCAAGAGCCTTATGATCCTCTACAAAGCCGAAAATGCGCTAATGTGTAAGGTGTTTGCAATGACTTTGAAAGGAGTAGCTCAGGATTGGTTCTATACCCTGCCATCCGAGTCGATCATCAGCTTCAAGGAGCTTACTTACGTCTTTAATAAAGAATATATTTCGTATTAGACGATCAAGAAGAACCCTAACTATCGGTTTAACCTGCACAAGAAGTCCAATGAATCCCTCCGAGACTACATTAAGAGGTTCAAAGCGGAGAGGGCAAACATTGTAGGATGTGAATACCAAATTGCGTCCTCCGCCTTCAAGAGGGGGTTGCCAACTGAATGTGAGCTATATCGCTAGCTGACCATCTCTCTTTGCCAAACACTGGTAAAATTCTTCGCTACAGCAAAGTGCTACGCACTGTGGGACGACAACCGGATCGCCGCAAAGAAGGCTGATCAAGCAGCTGAGCAGGC